TATATTATTTAATTTTTTATTTATATTTTCAATTGCTTCTGTAGTCTTAAGATCTGAAAATTTTTCTTTATTTTCTACTTTAGAAATTTTATTTAAAATTGTCAAATTTTGTTCTTTAATAAAATCTAAGTTTTCACAAATTTTATTAATATCTTTTTCAATATTAAAAATTCTTTTTCCTAAAGAACTAATTTCTCCAGTTAATTTATTTATTTCTTTTATTAAAAGATCCAGTTTTAAAATTCTAATCTGAGTAATAAAAAGAGTCTAATGAAAAATTTGTATGATCTGATAAATAATTATTATCTATATTGTCTAATTCAATCCTTAGTTTTAGATCTGATATAAATATCTGATCAAAACTGTCTATAAAATATTCTTCTATAAATTCTGAAATTAAAGATCTATATAAAATCTGTTCTTTTAATTCTGGATGTAAATTTTTAGTTACTTGTAATATATCAAATAAATAATCTATAGATTTATATTTTCCTAAAGAAATTAATTCTACACCGTATTCAAAAATCTCTTCTATTTCTTTATAAAATGTAAAACTATAGAATATTTTTTCTAAATCTACAAGTAAAATTCTAAAAATCATAAAACAAGTAAGTATATTCTAGAGATAAAAAAAATTATACCTTTACTAAGAATCTGAAATCAACAGCACCGGAACAAAAGCTCTGATACCAAAAGAGGGGGGGTCCTGAAATAGGGTTATTTCAGAGATTGTAAGGCTGTTGAAAGAGATTATATTATAAAAATCCTATTCAGTACTCTTCTTAATTGAAGTTTTCTTCTTCTTTTGATTATCATAATATCCCTTTTTTTTTTTTTTTTAATAAAAACATGCCATCTGAGATATATGAACTTGGGCCTAACTCCATTCTTGCAAGGACACCACTGGCACTCCCTTAACAAGAATTCTTAAAACAGTGATCCCTTTCCCTCTTCTATGCGTCTCCTAGCCTCTCCACTGGGCCTTTACGCTTTGAGAGGTCACTCAGGACTTATTTTAAAAACAGTTTTAAACTTTAAACTTGGAGTTAAGACATGCTCTTATCATATACTCAGCACGAAGCATAAAAATCTTTACAAAATAAAAATTTTATAAACAGTAATTGTTCTTTATAAGATCTGGAGCTAATATTAACTATTAGCACCATATCTTAGAACTATATAAAACATACCTACCGGAATGATCCATCGGTAGTTTATAAAATAAAATATTTTTGTGGGATATTATTCTATCTAAGAATAAGAACAATTAAGAATTTCCCTTTCGGGAGAGAGAGAAAATTAAAACATTTTTGAGAGGATTCAAGACTTGTATTGTATATATTTTCTTGTGTGTTTACAAATGAAAAAATGATCTCCTTTTATAGGAGAAAAAAAATAAGATAGACGTTATCTAAAAGCAAGGAATCTTTGCTTTTTTCAAAACGTCAAAAAGAAAATATTAAAAGCTATACTATCAAATCTTACTTTATCAAATAGTAAGATTCTTTTACAAATTTTTCAAAAAGTAAACAGTAAAGATTCCCAATCTCCGTATTGTCGCCTAAAATATGATATAATTTTTAGATTAATAATTTACCATTTTAAGTAACTTCAATAATTAAATAGGCGATACTAAATCCTAATCTTTTTATACTAGAGCAATTTTCCCAATTACTTTAATCACTTAAGCTATTTTTTCTTTCATTTTACTTAATTTTATAGTTTATTATACTTAATTCAATAATTTTC